CGTGTCGGCCCTGTGCCCGTTCGCGTGCGGGCGGCAGCGGCCCCTCCGTGGGCGGGGGTTTAACCGCCCCCGCGCCCTCGGGCGCTGCCCCGGCGGGAGCGGGAGCGCTGCAGCAGCAGCGCCTCAAAATGGAGCCGCGTGTGCTCGGGCAGCAGGCGAGCCGGCGGGCTGAACTGCTGGGAGAAAACAGTCAATAAAGCAGTGCCAGGCCTCCATGACCTCCGACTCTTTATGGGACAGTGAGGCACACACAGCACCCAAAACAGGCGGGCAGCCAGGCCCGGGCCCGCGCAGCCCTTCAGGGCATTTCCTGGCCATAAACATGTGGCAGTGCCCTGCTTCCCGGCTGTCGGAGCGCCTGTTCTCCAATGGCATTTTCTCCCATGGGCTAAGGCTGGGGAGAACTCGGAATTTAGCAGTCCAAGAGAAACCAGGGAATTAATTAACCTGTTTCTGCTACTGACTGCCTAATTTTCTCACTGATTTCTAAGGAAATCTTCTGTATTTTCTTCCACTGAACACACTTGCTAAACGCTGGAAGGGGATAAATTTGTTCAAGCCAAATAAAAACGACTCCACTCTCAAATATTCTCTGATGTTTAGTTTCTGTCAACATACTGAATTGCAAATAATTGTTGGACTTAAAAAAAAAAAAAAAAAAAAAAAAAAGAGAAACCAACCAGAGTACAAGCTCAGTTGATGCTTGTCTCATACTGCAATCGCTAATGCTGTCACTTTTGTTCCCTCTGTGTTCAGTGTCTACTTGGTGGCATGGTCTCATTCCACACATCTGTTAAGGATACCTATTACCATTCCTGTTAAATTCTTGAAATTGGACTTTAAGTAAGATCCTGTTTATACAGAAACTGCTACTGTTCTTTTCTGAATGTGAAAAATGCCAATCCTGCCTGCGTCTGTGGGTCACAGTAGGGGAAACTGAGGCTGCCAGACCGGGCAGGGCGCGCCTCCCCCACCCCGACTCCCCTAAAGCACCGGCAGCGAGGTGTTAGGAGCCATCCTCTGCTACCATAATCGTGAAAAACCCCAATCACTTGGTTTTAAAATTTTGAAAGTTTTCATAGTAATAAGATAGTTACAAAAATAGCAATATACTTAGAGTAATAAAAATTTTAACAATTGAGGTTAGGACAATACAAGACAATAAGAACAAAGAAATACGGACGGTCCGGGTACCTTTTCTGGGCAAAATAAGCCCGAAAAAGGACACCCGTTAACAAAGGATTCACCTTTAAAAATGATAGCCTGTTGCATATTCATATACTACGTATATGATGCACGAATTCATTCAAATAAAGGATTCTGTCTGTTCATCATCAGCTTCTCCTCTTAATCCTAACGGCATCTTTTTGACTGAACCAGGTGGGAAGAAGATAGTTTCTGAAATAAATTAAAAGAGCAATAAATTCTCTTTCTCGGAAAGATTTAGGTGTGCTGCAGCCACCATCCGGTGGGAGCACCACATTACTTTCTAAAAAGAAAACATTCCACATACATAGTTCCTATTTTAACTACAAAAGTTACCTTTTAACTATGAAACTACATTTACCATACTGTTAAAATGTTAATACAGCACTACTAATCAATGCAACATAATACGTCTAGTAAATATCTGCGCAGAGCCATATAATATGCACTTTTCACAATGAACACACATGGTTTGGTGGGCCCATGTGTTTTCAGCATTAGCATAGCTTGTGAATTTGGGTTTCTGGGTGAGGAACACAGTGAGTGAGTAAACACAGACCCACAGCACAGGCTGTTTTGGCCTGTTTTGCAAGTTATTCCATATGCACTCAACGTAATGTCTGTGCAAACAAAACTGATATTGCTTTAGAAAAACATCTCCAGGGATAAGTTTGTATTTACATATTTAGTTCTCGTTATGTAACTTTGAAAGCTGGGCCTATTCCTGATACCAGAACTAAGCATCAGTTAAAATGGCTGACGTTTGTGAGAGACAAACTGTTCAAATAATGCTAAAAGAGTTATTGCAGGTGGTTATCTGTGTTTGTAGTTGATAAAGCTACCTAGAGTAACATCCAGCAGAGGAATATCTGTTTGTGGGTTCGTGACATCTTCATGTTTCTTGGAAGGCAAGAGTTTAACCCTTTATGGAGACATCAGACTGAACACCTGGAATGCCTGCCTTTCTCTCCTGGCTATGGTGGGGATACCTCTGTTCCTTTGTACATCCCTAAGGAACTGGTAGAAGTGGGAAAAGCCTTGCTCCACCACAGGAAAGAAAATTGAGTACTTATTATTTTATATTGTGATGTGCTTTGCAAGGTAAACTCAAGGCGAAATGGCTTGAGTCTATAATTGATCATGGGTAGTGTTTTAAAGGCCTATACCCAACTAAAATTACGGCTTTTTAAAAAGTAGCTAAAGTACATATGATTTCACCACTCTATTTACAACGATGACAAATAATTTTTGGAAAATTAGTATTGTTTTCTACGTTGCTGAAACACACAGATTATTTGGCTTTTTATGTTGGGTTTTTTTTCCAAAATGCATTTTAAAAAGTTTGATATTAAATCTTGAACTTGAGTTTTTTCCCCCTTATGTAATAAGCCTAGACCTACTTTTTATATTAGTAGTGAAGTCTGTCTTGCTTTTTGAGAGAGGAGATTTTTAATAAGAAAATTACATTTTCTTATCTTGAGAAACAAAAAAGTGTTTTCTTTTTGTTAATATCTTATTTCCACATTTTTGTATATAGCTACGTTGATACTCTTTTGGAATTGAAACCAACTTTTAAAGTGAAATTTCAGGTTAAATTCTGATTTTTTGGTAGTAATAATGGGCATTGAAATACTCATTTACTAGATTGTAGTCTTTATTTTGGAAGAATCCCATAAGGAGTATTTTTCTTACTAGACTCTCTAGTAAAGAAAATAAAAATTTTCAGGCATTGTAGAAATAGAAATTAGCATTTTATTACTGATGAAAAATTCCAAAAGTTTTTCATAAGGCTGTGGTGTAGTTTCTATTTACATTAGGCTTTCTGTAGTATCCATCACAATTACGTGCCTTTAGAAAGACTTGATCCCATGTCAAACAGTTTTTGCTGTATAAGGTAAAGATAAGGGATTTGCATGATGCTGTTGTGGGTGATTACATAAGTCGTTCTTCTTTGAGCACCTAACAGTAGTAGATCTGAGCAGCTGATGTTAATGTAAACATTACACTTCTAAGTGAACTTTGTCTTTAGATCTTTTTCTTCATTTACATATCTAGGCAGAATGAATGTGTCAACTCAGATACTCAGCCTAACATTCAAAACTCTGTCCTTTCAACTAATGTGTTCAGCATTTCTGTAGATCAAACCCCAGATCTTCAAGTCAACCCCAAAACAAGGAGAGTACATATTCAAGAGTCAAGTGAAAAATTGTTTTCTTCATTTGAATCATATGCCTTCACAAAGGCAAAGAAGAAAACCGAGAAGTAAGAATTGAACTGAATAATCATTAGGCTTCCTAACTACTGAATCTGTATCAGCAAGTGCCCTGGAGATTTCAGCTTCTCCCAGTCTTTCATTCTGAAGCCAGGTTGGTTAGGTGTGTGGACAGAGGCAGGAAATCCCACTGTGCAGCATCACACTGTATGATGTCCTCATGCAGCATCAGGGTGGGGCCCGGCCTGACTCTGCCACTTGAGCCAGTGGAATCATTAATTCTCTTCCCCTCCTTTCACACCCTCACTTCCTAACACCCCCTGATCACATCTCGCTCTTCTGTGCTGTCTGCTTTCCAAATTAACAACAGTCACAGTATTTCCTTTCTCCGAGTCTTTTCTCAGGTAATTAAATCCTTCTTCCAAATTCAATCACTATATGATTCTCATCACTTCAAGTGCCTCCTCTTTAACTTCATAGACTTAAATTACAGCCTAAACAGTTAAATATGACCAAGCAAGAAACTGGATTCACAGAAGCTTGAAACATTGAAACACTTTCAAACCATGATTAGAGCGTGCTCCCAGTCATGTCAATAATAAGGAAAGAGGTGCAGTTCATGACCTTATACAGACCAAGCATCTGAGAGCACCAGTCTCTGCTGCCCCTTGCATGCCTCAGGCAGGTACAGCACACTCTGCATCCTTGTGCCAGTGGTACTAACGCTGCTGCGTTTGGTGGGGAGAAGCCTGTTGTCTTTCCCTTGCCCACAGGTTTCCCATGGGGTTACAGAGCTGTTGTGGGTACTTGGAGTTCAAGCATCTGGTGATGATGGTGACAGCTGCTTTAGAAGTGTAGTGGCATGGATAACAGCTGTGTGCAGTGCTGTACAGGAGACTTTTATATAGGATAGAAAAATGGCTGCATTTGGTGTTTGAAAGAAATATTGACTTGCTTTGTGATTTTATATAGTTAGTTGGATGTGTGTATATCTCTTGTTCACAACAAAATTTTCCACAAGTCCAGGAAGAGTTTTTCAGCAGAAGTAGGTTCTTTGAGCAGGATAGGACTGAGGAATCATGCACTGCCCTTCCAGCCATCCAGTTACGCAGATAGGATAAATCTCCTTTAAATCGGTGAATATGTAGTGTGAATTGTATTAATGTTTCCTTAAAATACAGCTCTACAAGAAATAAAGGATGTGATAGCTTCTTAGACCCTGTCACCTATATTATCCCACCTGAATGACTGACCTTTAAATGATGATAAATTAGTTCCTAGCATTTCTGTTGTTGAGGCAGGCTGCAGTAAGAAGCCAGGTAGGTGTCTCAGTGGTCATGCAGAGGCCACCTCCCTATAAATTACACCATTCTCGGATCCATTCTACGTCTCACAGTTCAGGCTAATCATTGACAGGGCTTTTACAATCAGAAGCTTTTAGTGAAGCTTTGATAAGACACTTCAGCAGCTTGTGGCAAATGAAACCAGTCTGCACAGCGTGGACTCCAGCAAAAGAATGGAATTTTTTTCAGCATCAGTGCAAAGAATCTGATTTTTAACACTGGCACTATAAACTGGCACAATGTGTGGCCAACGACTGGAGAAGGTTGTTGCTTTTTGGATGTTAGTTTTTGTAAGGATAGTTACTGGGCTTGCTGGAGAGGGAAGATCTGTGTGGAAAAAGGACTCCCACTTCAGCCCCGTGAGCAAAACTCAGATGTTTTTATATGACACTTTCCCCAAAGATTTTCTCTGGGGGGTAGGGACAGGAGCTTTCCAGGTGGAAGGCAGCTGGAGGAAGGACGGGAAAGGCTCCTCCATCTGGGACCGCTTCACCCGCTCGGAGTTCAGGGACGCTGACAGCGCCGGCACCTCCAGTGACAGTTATATCTTGTTGGACAAAGATTTGTCTGCTCTGGATTTTTTGGGAGTTACTTTTTACCAGTTTTCAATTTCGTGGTCAAGGCTTTTCCCCACTGGAGTGGTGGCAACTCCCAATGAAAAAGGACTTCAGTATTATAACGCCCTTATTGACTCTTTACTGTACAGAAATATTGACCCTGTGGTTACACTGTACCACTGGGACCTGCCCTTGATGCTGCAAGAAAAATATGGGGGATGGAAAAATGAATCGGTGATTGATGTCTTCAATGACTATGCCACGTTTTGCTTCCAGACCTTTGGGGATCGTGTTAAATATTGGATTACAATCCACAATCCATATTTAGTTGCTTGGCATGGGTATGGCACAGGTATTCATGCTCCAGGAGAGAGAGGGAAAATAAGAACTGTCTACTCAGTAGGACACAATTTGATCAAGGTACAGTATAATAAGATTTTACAAATTGATCTTGCACTGCTCTGGGAAATAATAAGAGGAATTGGTCCTGTGATCAATGTGGTTTTTTTTTTAATAATCACCTACTGTGATAGCACCAACAAATAGCCTTTAGCTAAGGAAGTCTTTCTGTTAACCCTCACTTTGATTTTATTGCTTGTCACAACAGCTGACTTGTTATAAAGTGCTTGTCTATTATTTTATTTAAATTAGCTTTTACATGCAAATTCTGACTCTTAAAGAGCATTCTTTGTTCTTTACATTTAGTTAAACAGATTTGGCCATACTGGAATGACTGTTCTCTTAGTTTAAAAGGAAATTCATTTGTATCTGCATATTGAATCAACTTTACTGCCCATAGAGTATGTATATGTAAGTATGATTTGTTCTAGCTTAGTAACATCATATTGCAAACTGTTTGCTTCTAAACTAGTAAGGTTGGCACATCTTGGCTTCAGAAGTAAACAAATGTCCTCTTTGGTACTTGAGAGTTTCAAATTATTTCCATGATGTACAGTATTTTTTGCATCTGCCGTACTCAAAGTACTTTACAGAGCAGGTCTCTATCCCATCTCTGCAGCCAGTATAATTCCCCCTGCTGAGACTATTCTTAACTGTCACAAAAAGAATTTTTCTACAACTTGCCATATATCACACATGTACAAATAAATCTGAATGGGTTAATCCTACAGAAAGAAGTATGCAGGTGGGGAAAAATTATTTGCCAGAGTAGTTAAAATATTCTGCAGCTGACAAATTTTTGTATTTGCCTCTGGCCTTGAACCTTCAGAACATCATTTTTCAAAAAAGTTACGCTGCAGTCAATAGAAGTTTTACACACAGAAAAGTTGTCAAGCATCCTGAGTCACTAACTGATTTCAGACTTAGCAGGAGAATGATTTAACTGTAAAGACTTCTGAAGCATCTCAAAGAAAGCTGATGCCAAATCATTCTTTCTCTTTTCAAGTGCTATTTTATATAATGCATGTAAAAGATACCATATAAGTTTGTAATATTTCTTGCCTTCATTTCTGAGTGTCACAATCAAATGTGGAGTACCAACTAGGCAGTCTCTGCACTTCCTGTAAAATCCATGTCAGCAGCACACCACACACAGGGAGTGATACTCTGCCAAAGAATCAATTGGGTTTTCCAGGAAGGCAAGCACAGCTGGGTCTGATACACAAATTACTGACCTAATTTTCTTGCTCAAAATTATTTGTCTCTCAGGCTTGATTTGATAGTTTCTTCTTGTTCTAGAGTATAAAATAAATCACTTGGATGGAAGAATTTAGGAGACTTTCAGCAGCACACAGTCCTTTAGCTACCTTTTTATTATCCGTGGGCAGAAATGTTTCTCCTCTGATACCCTTCTTACAACCCCATGAATTTTACCTAAAGTATTAGCAGTTCTCTCCTGTACCACTGTAAAATTTCTGGAGATTCTGGATTTGAGATCAATGAAAAATCTTGAATTTGTAGTAAAGCATTTAAGGAACTGGAGTTTTCTGGTTGGGGTTAGAGATGGAATGGAGACTCTTGAGGTAGCAGTCAATATGAATCAACTCTTATCTCTAGATAGAATTATTTATTTCTCTTACAATGATTTATTAGCTAGCCATTCCACAGAAGTCACAGCTAGTACTATATGTTCCAAGCCAACTACCCAGAATCTTTCTCAAAGATTTTTGTGCGAGTTTAAATGTTCAGTTCATCTTGCATTGTTGACAATAGAGTATTAATAGAATGTATTGATTCACAGTCAGGATTCACGTGTTGTGAAATATCTCTCCTTTGAGAATCTAGAAGAATTATAAGATTATCTCTTTAAAGAGATTTCACGTGGGTTTTTATTTCATGACCAGTATGTATTGGTCTGTTTCTCAGACATTGTACTATGGCTACCTTCTAATTTCCCACTGCAAATGAAAAACATTATCCTAAAAATAAAAGATCAACCAAATGTCAGGTCTTGGCAGTGTGAGGCAAAGTCTGCAAAGTCTGTTAAAGCTCTTGGGAAAATTGCCATTTATGTAATCAGCTTTAGGAAGAAACACATTCTTGTCCATGTCAAGGCTTCATTTTTGGACAGGCTATTGACAGACACGGTCCTTAATGCCACCCTGTGCACAAACCAGGTCCATCCATTAAATATACAGAGCAGGAAAAACAGGTCTGTAATGCTGAAATGAAGCTAATCTGGCCACCACACTGTTGCACAGCAATTTGCTGAAAATCGTTCTCAAGCCTTTTAGTAGTACCTTTGGAGAAATTAAATTAAGCTCTCGCCTTAATTCTACTTTTAATTTCCTTGTGTATTGTTGCAGTCGTGGTGATATCAGATCTGATCACTGTTTATATAAAGGAGTGCTTTTTTGTGATATATCAATCATAACCTGAAGCTAAATTTCATAGAATCACAAAAACAATACAACAAACCATAAACCTCTGCTTTTTTTTAGACTTTGGATTATTTTATTGTAAGAGCAATTTGAAAGTTGCTGGAGATCTTTGTGTCCCTTGAAAAGGGCTGGAGAAATTTCTCTTAGTTTTAAATGTTTCAATTTCACTGCTTTCAAAAGCAATAGTGTCTTAAAACTCAAATAATTAGCTGGTATATCAAAAAGTTCATAGAATACCATGTTGGAAGAGGACCTCAAGGATCATCTTCATTATGAGATTCATTTTAGAACTGATTAAAAAATTATCTGCTTCCATGAATGGATTCATGTAGGTAACTAGGCAGATAATGCTCTTATTAAGGCTTTCCTACAAAAGCAGGGCTGGTGTGTGTTCATGCAGCCCCAGAGCTCTGTGTGTTGGCTGGCACAAGGCATTGCTGATGCTGAGTCCCCTCCTGCCTGTGCTCCCCTCCAAGCCTTGCATCCTGTGAAGGGAATGCCCCAGACTCACCTGCCTGAGACAGCCCTGCCCTTTGCAAGGGCCCTGCTGTTCAAGATCTGTAAAGAGAGGGAGTGAATGCAGGATCAGAGGCTGATAAGCAGGGTGCTTAGGAGATCCACATTGGGAAAATAATTCAGAAGAATTTCAAATTTGAGTTTAAAAAATTTCAACTTTATAAACTTATTTGCATGTTACTATGTATTCTGTTAATACACAGATGGTAATCATTGCCACTGACCATTTCAAAGGACTCGATACTACCTCCACAGAAATTAATAGGGAATCTGAACTTTGGTGCTATTAATTGTAAATTGCTAAGGGATTCTCTTAGATTAATCTCTCTCCAATTGTATGGTCATTATGAGGAATAAAAGGAGCATGTGGAGTCCTTATAGCAGATGGAGAGTGGCCAGCAAAAGTGTATTTCTGTTCTTCATTAAAGGAGACTGCACTTCACAAAGGCAACATTAGAAAACAATTAATGACAACCTGCTATGCAACATTTTAAAGATACACCAAAGAAAATGGAAAAAAAACCCCAAACCTATGAGCTTGCTCCTGAGGCAGATGTCAGACTGAGGCAGAGAATAAAAAAATGGCATGCAGAAAAATTAGGTGGATTTACACTCTCCAAATAAACCACACACCCTTGCCCTTCTTCTGAACTGTAACATCATCATCAGACTATATTCTAGTTCTTCATGGTTTAAACACCAAATAAGTAAACTAAAAGCCAAATAATTGTATTATAATTTTTTCAATTCTAGATTTCCTCCAGCACACTAAAATAACTCCTTATATCCCTGACATTGTTTTGTAGACTCATTGCTGTTCAAAGAAAAATTGGTTCACTAAAGTATCTTAAGAATTTCAAGGTATTGCTCTATTGCAAAGAAAGCTCTTTGCATGTGCATATGTTAAATTACAGGATCAGAATTTCACGGAGTATGAGAATGCTTCAAAAAGAGAGAAGAACAAATACTGTTGTCTTCAGTTTATGAAGTTGACTTTTCTAGCTTTTTTACAGGGCTAGTGCTAACTGACATAGCAGTCTCTGTGACTTTCAAGACTAGGGAATATTTTCTACATTTATACCAGGAAAATATGCTGAAATTAATGAGTCATACGTATCTAGAATAAATACCCAATATTGATCCTACTTTAACTGTGTATTTAGCCTTGACATTTGTCCTTGCTCTAACAAGGAAAGTGAAAGATTAGGGATTAAACTCTAACTGAAAAAAGGTTAGTCAAGTTTTACTGAAAATACCCAATTTGATGTATGATATGGCTTTTAAATTTATGTTTGTTTCATATCTGGTCTTAAAAATCAAGTTCTATAAATCAGCTGATTCCATCAACAATAGTTTGCATTTAGCAAACACCTTCTATCTGAGAATGTTAAGCTTCTTTACAGATAATTAACAACTCAAATCAGATTTATAGACAACTATGTGTCTACTATGTCTGTAAAACCCTTACTGTAGATAGTGAGAAGTTTTTTACAGTAAAAGTTAATCCTCAAAATTAAATCGTCAGTGATACATACAAATTTGTATATGAGGATTCTATCTTGACTCATATTAAATGTACTTATTTATACGTGAGTTCTACTCCTCTAGAGTTATACCTGGGGCTGTATCCTCTACTGTGCACATTATTTTTAATAGTAACTTTATTTTCTTCTAATCACCTCCTGAAGATGTGTATGAATACAGTGAGGGATTCTTGGCTTTCACATGTCAATATCGTATTCTAATGAGTTGTTTTTTGGCAAAGCCATCTTTCTCCACTTCACCTAGAAAAGCGTGATTGCTGTGATTTACCTGGTGTTATTGTCATGGTACTTGGCACTTGCATCACACAGCTCAGTGCAGTGGGGGGCTCTTGTTAAGCCAATGCAGCCATATGCCTCATTCCAGAGCGGTGTTCATGGGCTGTGTCTGGAGAAAAACTGTGCAAACGAGGTGAGAAAATCCTAGAGGCAGAGCACAGAGTCAGCCTGGCCCCAGCAGCCCCCCCAGGCCGGAGGGACTTTCAGGACAAGACAGTGAGGGCAGCTGAGGAGATGGCACCGGCCACTTAAATTTTCTGATGAGGCTACTAAGAAATCAGTTTTATAATACATTATCTTGTAATTTCCCTCATTAATCCGCTTTTGCTGGCTTCCCTCTTCACTACAGAGCCTGCATTTCAAAGGTTAATGTCACTTTATCAGTATTTTCAAAGACAGACTTTGAACAAATGTTACGAGCATGACCTTAGAAACCATAAACAACTGATACACAAAATTTCACAAACTCTAATTCTTTGGTACTGCCCAGCTTAAACAAATACCTACCTGACATCAGGCCTTTTGGAGTTTTTTTAACTGTCAAGGCTGTGTGTTTCTAGATAAATTAACTGAAATTATTGTCAAAGGTAAGCAATGCTGTTTGGCTTAGTAATTATGACAATCTAACTCAGGACTCAGTGTTTCACAATGCTCCTAATGTTTTTTTTCTGGGTGCAAACTATTATTTTCTTTCCAGCTTAAAAGCATAACGCCACCCTAGAGGCATAAGGTAAACTCTGAGTTACTTGACAACTCTTCAGCTGGGAGAGGTCAGCCGCCCTCCCCTGTGTCAGATCACCTGATGTCATTCAGTCCAGTCACTCCTCTCTGACCTACCTGTCCTGTTTCCTTACAGGACTTTGACAATGCTAGTGGCTCCTCAGTCTCCCATGTATTTCTGGTTTTGTGTAAGTTTTGTCTGCTGTATGCCCTTATTTAAGTAATTAATAATGTGACATTTGAAGCTAATGGTGACATGCAATAACGACACACTTTCTAAAACAGTATGATAATCAGAAAAGCAGTATTAAGACGTGATACAGTGCAGTGGCCATTTCAAAGAAGAAATTAACTAAAATCCTGAACAAAATTCTCACTCAGAGCTGTGAAAGTTGACATTTGGGTTCAAACTTCACAGCTGGGTCCTTTTCCCAAGTTTTTACCTTTAGGGATTGTGCAAATACCAAAACTTGAACACTTGCTCATATGACTAGGCCAGAATAAAACAGCTGAATCCCAGGAAGAGGGATGTGGTGGATGTGGTTTGATCAGAGTAAGTCCAGGTAACCCCCAGAGCACAGAGCAGTTAGTAGCACAGAGTCACCACTGACAAATGAAATATCATATGAGATGCATCTTTAATGGAATAATTGTAAAGATGGTTTGAAATTTTAACCATATCAGGATTCACTGTTTGACAGAGAAAGACTGGCTAGATCACAGAGTTCAAATCCCATTGTTAGAGCTGTTCCAAAGTGTCCATGTAACAGCTGTTCTCATCCTTGCTGGCATCTCTCCTAAAATTTAGACATGTGTTAAAAGGCAAAAAGCACAGCCCTAGCGTGCCATAGGAGGCAAGTTAGTGAGCATGGCCCTCATTCCAAGGAGTCTTGCAGGTAACAGTGATTGCACATTAAACTGTGCAGGGTAATTCCTGTGCCTTAACTGATGCTTCCATAGAAGCCTGCAGTGTCTCAGATGGATCTACCTGTCTCTCTAGCTGCCAATGCACAAAGAGACTTATTAGAGTTATAATTTAATGCTATTTTTCTCTCATCAGGCTCATGCAAAAGTTTGGCATACCTACAAAGAACACTTTGGCCCTTATCAGAAGGGGATGATATCCATAGTACTGGGATCCCACTGGATTGAGCCTAACAAATTGGAAGATGAGTTGGACATTTCTAAATGTCAGAAGTCCATGGAAAGAGTACTCGGATGGTTTGCTAAACCTATCCACGGGGATGGGGATTATCCAGAAGAACTGAAAAATGAATTCTTGTTTCTGCCACACTTTACTGAAGATGAAAAAAACTACATAAAGGGAACAGCTGACTTCTTCGCATTTTCCTTTGGTCCTAGCAACTTTAAACCTCCAAACACTCTACCAAAAATGGGACAAAATTTGTCACTCAATTTGAGGGAAGTACTGAACTGGATTAAACTGGAATACAACAGTCCTCGAATCTTGATTGCAGAGAATGGCTGGTTCACTGACAGCCATGTGAAAACAGATGACACCACAGCCATCTACATGATGAAAAACTTCATTAATAAGGTTTTACAAGGTTTGTACAGAAATTACTTGTTGGATTTTTCAGAGAGCACTTTTGATTGTTTGATATTTAGCTCTGTAATAACTTAGTCCTTTTTTTTATGGGATAATAGCAACAAAGTTAATCATTAATTATTTATACTGCATGACTACAAGTCATGGATCAGGATCTACTGGTGCTAGGTGTTGTACAAACAGAAAAAACCCATAGCCCCTGTCCCAGAAAGCTAAAGTCCAACATCTGCATTGGGTTAGGGTTGTTTAGGGTTAGGTTTCCATACTGAAACTATTACTCCTGCAGGACTCTAAGACTCCACCTATAGTAGGTACAGAAAAGTCCTGAGATCTTCTTCTGTGAATGTCACCTCTGGTGACATAGGGAGCTTAGTTCACTCCTGACTTTTCCTACCTTCAGCCTTTCTTTCTGCCCCAAATCTTCCCCTTATTTTTCAGGGGACTTTTCTCATCCTCACTCTAACACTCAGTCAGAATCCTGACCTGTTTCTGCCCTCTCCTTTCACTGTCCCTGCAGACAATGCTACAAACACTCTCTCACCTATCTACCTATATCACCTGCCTAATATGTAATTTTCTTTACCATAAAGCATATGTAAAATAGTACTTTTTCCTCTATTTAAATGGCCACAAAATCCCAGCATGAACCATCTCAAGTACCACAGCATCTTTTGCTCTGACAATTAAACTTAACCCCATCTATTCAATATACTTCTACGAACAAAAATGTTCTCAGTTGTCACTTGCTCTTTGCCTTGATTTGTCCGCCCCCATTTGTTCAACCTTCCTCATTGTGGACATCAAGTACTCATCTTTACTTGCAAGGCCATTCCAGCTTATCTCTTTATCCTCTACATCATTCTCTGCCTCTGCATTTTGCAATGGGTATTTTCAGACATTTTTGTACTTTCTCCCGTGGTTTCCCTAATTTAGAAGTTGCCTTCTTTGAAAATACATGGCCTTGTATTGCTTTGTTACATTTCCTCATTTCCTGTCCAGTATTCTGGCCTTGCCCATCAGCTTCCCGTATACTCACATTGCAAGCTCTTGGGCTTTCTGATTTCATCTGGCTACTAGGAAAACATCCAGCTGGACTATGCCCATGCTTCTGGGTACCTTGGAACTCTGCTGCATCAATGCATGCACTGTGCAAAACTGTTTTCTGCTCAAGCTGCAGCCTGGTGTGACTAGGGAAGGTAGTTCAGTGGAAATACAGACTGATGCAAAATTATATGTCCTGAGAAAATGAGGCTAAACGATATTGGGAAAGAATAAACCAGAAAACTTCTTTATTTCTTGGCTTACTGGTATGGTGGAGTACTGGTAAAATATGGCTTGTCCACCTGTCTGTGTCAAAATCCTCAGCAGCCCTACTTGGTCACTGCTTTGCCTAGGGTATTCCAGCCCTTATGAGGTTAACATGAGGAGTTATCCCATGTTATTTCCTAGCTTAAAGGTAGCAACAGGCAGTGAACGTGACTGACTGTGGAGTTTGGACTTTTCTTTGCAGGCTGCCAGCTGGCACGAGCCTGCACAGGTGAAAAGCATTGTGGTTAGTTGGTGTCCACTGAGCAGCTGCTTTGCAGGCTCTGCTGCCCTTCCTGAAGAATCAGGTTCCACATCTGAGAAAGCAGTTGTGCTGTCATCTTTCTCATATACTGTATGTAAAAGATCATATCTAGACTCCTTTGCAAGAGGGACATTAAGATTGCCTGAAGCATGCACTGCACCCATTTTGTAACTGAATCAGTCTCTGGGTTGCACTACCCTACTTCTCTAAAGTCATTAACAGTCCCATGCCAACAAAATAGATTTTACAGTTTACAAGCTGAGTAGACATTCCCAAATGTTTGAGCTTGCAGACATCTTTCAAATAAAGGTAGAGAGTTTTAGCTTCATGACAAAGTTATAAACCAGATCAACTGTTGCTCCCTTTATTTTGACTCATGATTCTCTTATTTTACTGGCAAATTGTCAAATGCAACTTCAAACCTGGTTGTGGTATAATATTTCTTATTTGGTCAGAGCAGAAATAAAGCATCTTACAGTAATTTAATTTCTTAAGGACAACTTAATTTCTTAGTGACACCTTTTTTTTTTAGTAAATAAAGACTAAGATATATACATCAGTTTTGCAATGAATTACAGTGGGTCAATAACCCTACAAACATTGAGAAGACACTCAAGATTTTCAAAATATATAGCCCTTTCTCATAAATATCCCTTATATATGTTAGAGTAATGAATACAGGACTCATGGACGTTACTTTCTCTTATGCAGCTATTAAATACGACAACATAGACGTGTTTGGTTACACAGCCTGGTCCCTCCTTGATGGCTTCGAGTGGCAACATGCTTACAACATCAGGCGTGGATTATTTTATGTAGATTTCAAAAGCAAAAAAAAGGAAAGGATTCCCAAGTCATCTGCACTTTATTATAGACAAATCATACGAGAAAATGGCTTCTTCCCAAAGGATTCTACCCCAAACTTGCAAGCTCAGTTCTCCTGTGACTTCTCCTGGGGTGTCACTGAGTCTGTTATCAAGGTGAGCATAAAATATTCAGCAGATCCCTGGAAACAGAGTGATCAGCAACTCTGTGAACAAATGACCATATACAGCAGCTTGCATTCATGAATTTCAATGCACACTGCCCACAGAAGTTAAGCCATAATTGCATTGGTTCAGTTTCATGTGTTTCCAGGTTTTCAGGTGAGCTGGTCACAGAGGGCTGGCTACTGCTGCAGCAGCAGACCCTGCTGCAGGAGCCTGTCCAAGCGTGGCCCTCCCTCTGCTTGTGTCTCCATGTGGCAGATCAGATGAGGAAATTTCAGACCAAGAAGTTGATCCAGCCAATTGTTACTGGGTTATTTTTCAACCAGGGGTTTCCAAATCCAGTTTGCAGTGTGGCCATAGAGATGCTTGTGAAGGCCTGATGGAGAGAGTGACAAAGGGCAGGGACAAGGTGATTATGCTGGTGGCAGCAGAGTGACCTGCAGGCTCCTTGTCTACAGCAGAAACACATTCCTGGCTTAGGCCTGGCTCTAAGTACCACTCAGACAAGTGGGTAAGAAGCCATTCTTTAAAAAGACAGCACAGGTGAAAATAACCAATCTTGAGGTTTTACCAACTGAGCTCTCATTAGAAAACAGATCATACAACCTTTTGTCCAAACTGGCTCCTACAGGACCTATTTATAGTTTATTTTTCTTCTATTTCTGCTTTAAACTTAGTAAATTAGCTAACTATTTATGGTCAGTGTTGGGATACCCTTCTTGTCATCACAAACAGACAGTCCCAAGACAAATATCAGCCTCAAAAAATAACAAAATCCCATAATTTAACCTATTCATTGACAACCATAGAGGGAAAAAAGTTAAGTTTCTATATATCTTGTTAATATGCAGCACAGAAAAAAAAGTACATTTCCTTTAAAAAAAGCAATCTAAATATTTTAAACTTCACTAATTGTACTTTGAAACCTACAAAAAGCATTTAAAAATTGGAATATTTAAAAAAATGTGTTATTCTGAACTTTTTCAACTAGTAGGAGACAGAAAAGATATAACTAAATGCTACAAGCTGTTTGTGTCAGATTACTATGCCTCAGTTTCACAAGGTTGGTCACAACAACAGTGACAAAATAATCCGTGCCTGCCTCGTACAGCCCCTGGTGCTTGTTCTCACCACCTGCTCTCCAGGCAGCTGCCTGGGAACTGCTGTGCATGACCAGAGAACTCGATCAGGGAGAGCTGTCTCTGTGAAAACGTGTCATGTAGGCTGGTGGCAGGGCAAATGCCCGTGTGTAATTGAAAAGAAAAAAGTGCAATTTTGATGTTTTTCATAGGGAAAGGAACAGAATGATAAGATGACCACTAGCACAAAGACCATACAGGCGAGCTGCTTATCCTCTTCCCCCTGAAGCATTTAAGCAGGGCCTTCTGACATACAGCACTAATCGACAGCTAAACACAGGCAGAAATGCAGAATTACAGATATTATGTCCATTTAATTAAAACCCATCGTAACATATTTTTATTTTCACAGGCAGAATCGGCAGCTTCCTCACCACAGTTCTGTGATTCCAGCTTGTACCTGTGGAATGTCACAGGAGATGGGCTTCTGCACAAAGTTGAAGGGGTAAAGCTAAAAACCCGACCAGCACAGTGCACAGATTTTGTCAGTATTAAAAAGCAACTGGATCTCCTGGAAAAAATGAAAGTCACCCATTACAGATTTGCTCTTGACTGGTCACTAATTTTACCCAACGGAGATTTGTCAGTGGTCAACAGGCAAGTTCTTAGGTATTACAGATGTGTGATTAGTGAAGCCCTGAAACTCAACATTCAATCCATGGTCACCTTGTATTATCCAACTCACACCTACCTGGGGCTGCCGGGTCCTCTGCTGCAGACAGGAGGATGGCTGAACCAATCCACTGCCTACGCTTTTCAAGAGTACGCAGCTTTATGCTTCAGGGAGCTTGGCGATTTGGTTAAACTGTGGATTACAATAAATGAGCCAAACCAGCTGAGCAACGTCTACAACAGGAGCAGCAATGACACCTATCGGGCAGCACACAATTTATTAATAGCGCACGCCATGGCCTGGAGAATATACGACGAGCGGTACCGGTCCTCTCAGTACGGCAAAGTGTCCCTGTCCCTGCATTCGGACTGGGCCGAGCCTGCCAACCCCTTCTTTGAATCTCATACAAAAGCTGCCAACAGGTTTCTTCAGTTTGAAATAGGCTGGTTTGCCAATCCCATATTTAAGACTGGGGACTATCCAGCTACTATGAGGGAATACATCACCTTTAAAAACAGAAAAGGCCTTTCATATACTTTGTTGCCATCTTTCACAAGTGAGGAAAAGCAGCTCGTCAAAGGCGCAGCTGACTTTTATGCACTGAATCATTTCACCACCCGATTTGTGATTGACGAACCTCAGAATGGAAGCCAGTATGAATTTGATCGTGACATTCAATTTCTGCAGGATATCACCTGCCTGAGCTCCCCTTCTCGTTTGGCAGTGGTGCCTTGGGGAATGCGCAAAGTTCTCAGGTGGATCAAAAAAATGTACGGTGACGTCGACATCTACATCACAGCAAATGGAATAGATGACCCGTCCTTAGACAACGATGAGCTTCGAAATTATTACTTGGGCAAATACATACAAGAGGTCTTAAAAGGTGAGTACATGACAGATTCAAGTTCCCCAGAGCCATTTCCATAGCTCAGACCCAGGCACGGCTGAGTCTTGCCCTGGACAGAGCGGGCAGTCCTGGTTCAGATGCAGGAGCCAGCGGCACTGAGCCCCCTGAGGGGCCCAGCTCTGCAATCACACTCAGGGCAGCTATGACACAAAGGAATGGCATCAAGTGCCTTGCACAAAATGCAGCTACAGCTGCCTCCAGTTTAAACCATGAGAGAAGCTCTCTGGGCATGCACAGAGTAGTTACTCAGAAATTATTAGGAGATGGCACTTCAGCCCAACTCCCAAGAGGCAATTAAAGTTTCTACTCTCCTAAGAAAGGCAAGAGCCTCCTTGCTTGCTGAACTACTCACTGGACAGGAAAGTGCAAGCAAATCCAGTGTCTCGCAGGGACATACCGAAGAAATACAGCAGGGCACCAGCAGCACTGGCTGCTGTTGAAGGGAGAGTCCAACTCTAGTTCTTATTCCACTACTTGTTTTCTCCTGGGCACATATGGAGATCTACTTGTTCACTTTAGAGAAAAACTAGTAAGAGTTATGGAGGTAGAGGACAAAAGCATTCAAGGCAGTGATCTTCTGCAGCAGCTTACTGTATGAGAAATGCTGCAGGGACCTCACCCCTCTCCTCCCTCTTCCTCCAACCAGTCATCAGAGAAAAGCAGTGGGACACAGGCTACCAGCAAGGCCGTGGTACCTGAACCACACAGGCAAAATGAGATGTGCAATACATCCCTGCCCTCACTGTTCCCTACTGGTGAGCATTAAGAGATCCTGATCAGAACATGGGGGGTTCAAAAGCTTTTCTAAAGTAACTGACATCACAGTCTAGGTATCCTGGTTTCTCCTTTCTAGGAATTAATAAAAAATGAGAAAAATATTATTCATGGCCAAGCATGCCTTCAGATTACTTTCAGACACCAAGAAAAAAAGTGTTCTCTCTCCAGTGCTTAGCTTTCTCAGTTACTACAGGACTAATGAGCATTTGCTGATTTATTTTTCCATGCTAATTTCATACTGCAAACAAAAGAACAATACGTTACTAAAGGAAGTAAGTTATTAAATGTTTACATATTCTTAGTCTGGGTCACATTCCTAACTATGCTCACTGATTGCACATTACTTCAAGGCTTGCTATTTTTAAGTATTCTCACCCAGCACATGGGTGCAGCAGTGTAACACAGAGCCATGCATGCTGCAGGGATGAGCAACTGATTCCTGCACTTTGGAGCAGTGCAGGAATTTTTGAAAAGCTCTCATGGCACTAATGGGCAGCTGCTCCTGAGTTACTGCAGCTGGCTTCAGTTAAGAGCAGCATCTAGCTTTTCCCAGGAAAACAACCCACCGGTCCAACCTTGCAGAAATCCAGTTTTCATGGGGTAGGTCCAAAATCATAAGGATTTTTTAATCAGTAAGGCACTGTTCCTATGTAATTGAGACAACTTAATATGAGAAGTAAGTATTTGATGATATAAGTACACTTTATAACAATTTGAAATCTGCTTACCAGAAAGTCTGCAGGTTTTACTTGAAATGTAAGATTTTATTAACACTTTGTTTTGGTTTCTTTTCCTTCTCAGCCTACTACATTGACAAAGTCAAGATTAAAGGCTACTATGCGTTTAAGCTGACTGAAGAAAAATCTAAGCCCAGATTTGGATTCTTCACTTCGGATTCAAAAGAAAAGCCTTCAGTAAAATTTTACAATAGCCTGATAAGCAACAATGGCTTTCCTGCTGACTACTCAGTCTGTGGCACCTCTAGCCACGAAAAGCAGTGTAGCTTCTGCTTGTTTATTTCTCAGAAGAAGCCATTAATATTCTTTGCCTGTTGCCTTTTCTCTACCCTCAGTTTGCTTTTAGTTATTATTTTTTTTCACAAAAGAAAAAGAAGGAAACATTTTAAGGCAAAAAGCATCAAATGCATCTGTGTCTCATTTTAAAAGGGGGCACAAGCCCACTTTCAGTGAGATCCATCACGGCATTCTACAGTGGACAATGCCACTCAGACACCTGTGGAAAAGCACTGAGTCACTCCAGCCACACACACCAGCATTTCATTCAAAAACAAAGTAATCACATTCACAGGAAGAAGAGACATGGCACTTGTTTCTAATGAAATTACTTTTATATCCACCTCCTGTACCTAGAAGACAACTTCATCTGTTAAAAAAAATAAAATTATCCTCTTGTGCCTTGGAATAACCTTTAAAACAGCTTTACTTGCAAAGAGCAACTTCTGAGAACTGATATGTACCTTTGTAAGTTTTGTGATGTGTATCCACCTTATGAGTGTTGTTCAGCACAGCATGAAACTGAAGCTGTTAGGGTTTATAAGTGTTATTAAACCCCACAAACCTTCAACTAAGTAAAACACCAGGAATGAAATGTGCCGGGCCAACTTCTGAAGATACCCCTAAAAGAACAAAACCAAGTTAACTCCATTATTGACTAACAGATATCCCTTACAGATTGGGTAAATCTTCGGGCAGTTTTTGCAATTTTTTAACATGTGTGGGATGCTTTAGCAACTTGTTGCCAAGTGTGTTTCTGCACTATGCCAGTATTTTATAGACTTTTCCCGAACTGAATGGAGCAAGTGACAATGTGGATTTTATGACTGCACAGAAATAGGACAACCTCCCAGTTAGATGTTGCTACATGGCAAGATTAGCAGTGAAGAAACCAAGCTGTATCCCCAGGTAACAAATCACCGCTGGTGAAACTCAGCAATTGAAACTCTGATTGAGCTTTGAGGTCAAGTCCCTTGTTTTCTTAACTGAGCACTAAAAAAACCTGTATTTTCAGACTACTGCTTCTATCTATGTATTTAGTTTAAATGGGCTTACAAATCTCATTCTCCTGATTTCAGTTTTGTTTTTCATCTACTTCAGATTCTGTCATCACAAGTCTGAGGCTTGAGAAAAGATGTGAAAGAACTGGTCTCCCCTGTAAGAAAAATGCTTTTATTATTTCTTCATGCTGTGATTCAAAAATGCCACTTCATGACTTTGTCACAGAAAGATCATGGCAGCACAGCCTACACACTGCCCTACCAGTCTCTGAGCAGTCATTCAGTCTCAATGAAGTCCGATGGTTTGAAAACACATTGGTAGGGTGGACCCACTGTGCAATCTGCTTCTCTAAAAGCCATCAGGTTCATGAAATCACCATTTTATTCTTTAAAAAAAAACCCAACAAACTCAAGATATGAAATATAGTTTATTTTACTAACATCTAATATTATCACCTTGTTCGCAGCTGGGATTGCTGGACAATGTCTCCTAAGGCTGGGATCCAGACAGCTGTAAATAAAACAAAGAGCTTTTAGAAAGATTTTGGCAGTGCAAATGTGAAACTGAAAGTTTATAACCATTTGATGTTTATTTATCTGATGATTTTAATGCAAGACAGACATTAACAGCTCAAAGAATTTCCCTGATTTTACACAGACAAGATTAATTAAAGATGCCTTCAAGCACAACAGCTCAACTGTTCAACAAATGTAGTAAGTTGCTCCATCTCTCAAGGCACATGGAACAGTACTAAAAGTTATTTTTTCAGAGGCTTGCAAATGTTTGGTATCTGGAGGATGATTTAAAAAAAAAGTTTTATGAAACTCACTTTATCTACATCCTGCCTCTAGCTTAGGTTCTCAAGGCACACAGCATAGAATTTATTTGCAAGTCAGACTGTCTCATCCTGCACGGGTGTTTTGTACTGACTAAGGAACCACACACAGCTGGAATTCATCAAGTTCCTTTAGCAGTTAAAATTCCTAAATGATCCCCAAATCATCATACTCAACTTCAGTAACAATGCCCATGGACAACGTAAATCGTTGTCCTTGTAAAACTGACCAGCATTTACACACTAACTGCTCAGAAGACCTTTACATATAAATTGGGTGCTCTCCACCATGTTAGTGAGGGCAGTGTCCAACCAGGAGGAACATCAGTCTTCTGTGTAAATAGCTGTAAACCAGTCTGTCAGGCCAGGCCAGCTGTTTTTAAATTCTCAGCCAGCACACTGCAGCTTGCATTCACAATGCAGAGTCCAGCACTGGAGAAGACAGGTTTTCTCCATAAAGTAGCAAAATGCCAAGCTGATGAAAGATGGAAAACTGCTGTTGAAAGACCTACCAAAATACAAATTTTACGATGCATCTTATGACATCTTTCACAAAGAAAATTTCATCCCTATTGGGAACCTGTTTAACCATGGCCATGTTGAAGCAGATAAACCTTGCCAAGACCCCATCTCTACAGAGAAGATGTACAGTGTGTATTAAGATGATACCAACCTGTGAGTTTTACTCATCTGCCTGCTGCACGGTTCCCTTCTCAGAAACATAGATACCATCCAAGAATTTTCTGATATCCTTGTTCTTGACTGTGGTGGCTTGCTGGATCAAAGCAGCTGCAGACAAACTGAGAGCGTTAGCACAAAGCCAAAAGGTCCAAGCCAACTTGTAGCCTTTGTTTATGCTCCAGTATTTCATCTAACAAACAGGACTGTCATCTAGAGACAGGAATGCCCAACTTTAAACCCTGTAAGGTCTAATGAAAATAGGATGCATTTCACTGAGCTCAACTTGGGGCAGTAGCACTTCATTACTGCACACATGTACAACTGAAAATCTGAAAAGTTTGGTGCCAAAATGGCCAAAGAAGGTTCTGAAGACTTGTAAAAACACCTTTAAACTTAGAAACAGAGTTAGGAACTATGAAAAGCAATTACAGTGACTAGAGAAAAAAAAATCTGTGCTGTTGTTTACCTCAGGATTTGAGGTAAGGAGTTTGCAAAGCTGCCATTTTCAGATAAAAGTTTCCATACAATTCTCCACACATCTACTTTCACAAACCTGAATTGGAGACCAGCTCAATGTCATTCCCTTCAAGGATCAGCTCATCTTTCTGGGCTTGAGATACTGCACAGGTAACACCTATGGAAAGGCAAACACATAATCCACACTGTTGAAGGTGTTAAGTGTATTAAAGAAGCAATATTAATGTCCTGTCCCAATTTACATAGCTAGACACTAGATATGAATTCAAGACAAAAATTAGCTTCTCTGACTATTAAAGAGAGTCCCTCAAATCCATTCCAGGGCTGTCCTCCCTCGCACAGTTTCAATTAAAGATTAGTGCAAGTCATGCTCTGAAGTGAAAGCTACTGAAGTGACACTCCTGCTTACCCATTATTACATTGGTGAGCATCCATCACCAACACTGGGTACCAGCCAGCACTTTGCCAGCACGGCTCCGGTGGTGCCATCTCCACAGGCTTGTGCTCATTAGGACAACGCTGGAGTCAGCAATCACAGAACAATCAAAAGCCATTGAAAGCCACCTGCCCCCTGTCATGTCATGTACTGTGTTTACACTAGCCATGGTGCAAATACTCACAAGGAGTGAACATGATGGCATTTGAGAATCTAACAGGAAACTTGAATTTTTAAAGGAACTAGAAGTTTTTACAGTTTCTTCTATTTAATCAACAGATATCAGATTTTAAGCCAGCCCAACACTAAGAGTAAATGCTGACTTAAAAAATGCAATAATCAACCCCACCATTAATATCCCACAGTAAATCAAAAACCCTGTAACTCTACTGCACTGTTATCTACCACTGTTTTGGGACAAGTTCTGATGTATTCCTCTACAGTCACCAGAACCCATCATCAGTCACATTAAATGTCCTTACCCACACCCTCACCAGAAATGGAATTAGAAAAAAACAAATGGATAAGGGATGTCTTTCCTACAGTCTTTATGTAACTCTGTTCATGACATGTTTTGTTGCCTCCTTTCAGAAGTTTAATAATCTCCATCAAGTGCCTACTTTTCTGTTACGACATTTTACTGAATGAAACTCCAAGTGTGCAAGATGTAAAAACAGCTAATAAGACTATAACTTCAAGTTTATTGTGAATGCTCCTAAATAATCAGCAAATTCAAACTAGAACACCTTAAAGACCAAGACTATGATGTGGTATGAAACTAGTTCATGTGCAGTGTTTTAAAACAGAAACGCAAATCTAACACTAAGCAGCTGCAGGTTACCAACTATCAACACTATTAAGATCTCCCAGTCATTAAAGCAAATCCTGGATTCCTTGTACTACAGTAACTAACTCCAGACTGGTCGTTAGCTAACTCTCACTAGTAAAATTACAGAGGCACTATTAATTATAAATCTGAACAGTGGCAATGGTATCATACGAAGATTACATAAATTCAGACAAGCACGTGCTGCTCCAACGATTATTCATCCTCTTCCATTCTCAGTGGCAGAGCCCACAGAAAACAGCTTGGAAAGCCTAGTTCAAACCAGCAGAACACACCTCCAGAAACGCTCACCTGGCCTCATCCTCACTCTGCGGATGTACTTCTCTCCCAGGAAGTTCCGGATCTCCACGAGTGAGCCGTTGTCCTGGATGACTACATTGATCGGGAAGTGAGCGTACACCGACCTCATCTTGTAGCGGAAGCCCTGGGGCACAGGACATAACCGGGCATTGGAAGCAGAACAGGCCCAGAAGGCAGAACACGAAGCTACAGCAGAAACCAAAGCCAGGGGGTAGCAACAGCTTCTGAAAAAGGGCAGGACACTGAGCCCCACGCATTCATCCTGTCCCCCACAACTTGCCTGACAGCAAAGGCAAGACAAAAAGCACAGGGAGAAAGAAGCTGCATCTTGGATGCTCAGAAACGCCCTCGCTCCACAAAGTAAAAGGCTCTCACTGCAGTAACTATGCTATTATCAGGGAGCCCCCTCACGGGAATGACTGATATCTGACTCCAAGGCTCTGGAATGCTGAACACTCACTTTATTAAAACTACACTATACACACATTATACTATATTAAAGAGAGACACTATATCATACTTCTAACTACTGAAAAACTCGTGATTGTCTCCCATCAGGACACACAGCCTGG